TAATTTAGTTAATTATTTAATTAGTTTTCCTTGATTATTAATATTTTTAATTATATTAATTAAGTTATTCAACAATAAGAAACAATAAGAGAGGTCTAGGTTTTGACTTTCCCTTCTCTATTTCTTTCGGCTTCGTTACTTCACAGGAGTATAGAGTTTTTTGACTCCGCGCAGAAAATTTACAATCCCGCTTGAATCATCGCGACACAAGGTAGTCTTGCAGAAGAAGAAAATGGCTTCAGAGAACTCGGTGATGGCGGTGATTAGGGCTTCTCGGCCTACCTTTCGAAACAATCACGATAAGGTCGCATTTGTCATTCACGCCTCCTTTCTTTCTGCGGGATTCTCCCTCATAGCTGTGGGTCGAAGAGCCGTAGACAATAATCTACCAATCGGTACTTCTAGTCATTTTGATGCCACGGCACATGAAACTTTTCAATTGGTTTGTTTCTGATAAATTTTATTAATTTATTTTCAGAAGGTGAGGAGGTTGGGATCGAGGGGTGGAATGAACTGGACGACGCTTACGGATTTGTGTACTCCAAATCAGAGAAGGACGCGAAGAAGGCGATCTTGGTGAAGTGTTTGCCCTTGGAGGATTATCTGATGGTTGATGTCGTGGAATTGAAGGGCGAGCAGAAAGAGCCGTTCCATCTGCAAATTCTGTAATTTATATATCATTTTTTTTCTGCAATCTGATGCCGTTTATATGTTCGTGCTACTTATTCGCCCTGTTTTGTCAGTGTCGAAGACTATTTGGCCGACAGTGGAGCTCAGCAGACTAATTATGGAGACATGTATAAGAATCTGCAAGGCCTGGTGAAGAGTCTGAATACAGTGATTCTGGAGCAACTGGAACCTAAGTGCAAGGCCGTGGCATCTGCAAGTCCATCACGATCATCTAGGTATGTAGAACAACATCTATTTGATCTTGCTGAAACTCGGAGCTGAACTTCCTACAGTCTTTTTATGTTGTTTTTTCTCTTTTATTTGTTCCTGATTACCAATGTTAAAGCTACTTTTATAAGCATATCATCTGAATTATGTGACAAGATTGCTAGGAAGCTTCAATCTAAACTTAATTCTGAGTAATTACGGGTTATCTTCCTTTTTGGTGATATAAGTAACATTTTTTTTGGGTCTTTTCAACAATATGTTTGATGTGCCACCAAAAAAAAAAAAAAATCATTAGTTCAAGCATGGATCTTTATGTAAATTTTCATATTTCAAAGAATTAGAATTTTCAAACTAGAAACTTCCAAAATCAATTTCATGATCACCTGAACTTATTTTTCTGTAAACTTATAATAGAAATGACCGTCTTGATGAAACAAATTTAACAATACTAAAAACACCTTGATCCAAGTCCAAATGAATCTAAATCAAGTTTTTATTCATGAGACCATTTGGGTGATTAAACAACCTTCAATTTTTGTGTGCATATATTCCAAATTAACGTCTACAAGATAATCTGATGACTGAATGATCATTTTTTTATAGCGTGGATCTCGAAATGAACTACTGTGGGGTTAGAATATCGAAAGGGTACAAGCGCATTATCCAGTAGAACAAAGCGCGTAGAACCTTTAAAACTCTACCTAAGGAAGGCAATGAAAGAGAGATAGAATTAACATACGAATTATCCATAGGAAAATAGTAGCTTTAACGACATATCTCGCATGGATTACAATATATATATATTATATATTATATTATATAAATCGATAATCACGAGATTTCTCTCCTTCGATACATTACTCGAGTGCGGTTTATTGATGGAGTGTGGTTTTTTATGGGCGCAAGTTCCCATGATAAGTTTACATCTTTATGATTGACCCAAGAATACTCTCGATTACGGATGTCGATTTACTTCTCTGAGTTCGGTGATCTAGATAAAGGTTCCCAATTTCTTCTAAATCCAAAGGGGGATAAACTTTTCTCTTCACTTTAGTAGAAATTGATTTTTTAAATGTATGAAGATTGGATTTAAAAACAATTGAGTTTAAAAGATTAAAATGATTTACTCTCTTCTATATCAAGGATTAAAGAGGAGACACATTGAGGGTGTATGATTTGGCTTATCCGCTTCCTGGAGGAGCTACAGCTAAGCATCCTAAATACAATCAGCCACCTTAAATGTATGGCAAGCTAGGAAGGGCTCTATCCTAATGAGTGAAGATTTTTATTTAGAAGTTTTAAATCTGCGGATGTGTATAAATATGCGAAAATACATATATCTATATAATGCATGTATGATGCATGAAATGAGCGATAAGAAATATATCTGTATTCATTTATTTAGTAAAATAAATACAACCTAAGGTCATATAAGAAAAGCAACATTGGTCATGCTCCACCACAACAAACCTAGTTTTCTACCTCTAATGAATATGAGTTTAATTATATTTGTTGATCATCTTTAGGCTCCGGGTTTCCTAATAGGTTCCAAAGAGGAATATCCTTAAGGAATGAAATTATTCTTTGGAGCCCATATGTATATGCATGTAAGCAAAGTTTTAAACCTTACAACTTTTTGAGAGATGTATACAATTTGATCTAGTTATAATTTATTATCTAACATTTTACATTTACATTTGGCTCTTGCATATATATTTACACCATAAAATTATGTATTACTTCACTTTATTTTACAAATCAAAACTAGATTACATTCTACTTTGTCTTCTTTTACAAGGAAATAAAAAGACAACATAAATGCATATGCATGATGAATATAATGTATGTCATGTAATTAATAAATTAAAAGCTTGTAACGAACATTAAAAGTAATAGAATGTCATGAATCCAAAGTACTGAATAATAAACAAAACCTCCCCACCACACCAAAGTAGCCTCCAGCAAGAGGTATACCGCATTTACACCAAACACACTATCTTGTGGGTAGAGTTTTAAAAATTCATATTGTTTAAACTGATCGGTACTGTACAATATTCACTTCGAACGGACGATCTGGATCAGTATATTTTTTGTTTTTTCCCCAATGACCAATGGAACGAACAGAAATGAAATTATTTTTCAAGTCTTATTCGTATGAGACTATCCCAACTTGCGTACTTAAGGACGAACGTCTTGGGGGGTTCGCCTCTCAAGAACTGATCGTATGGGGAACGATCAAACCTTCGATAGGGCACGAACAATTCTCGGTTTCGCTCACGCACAATTTTTTTTCTAAGTCCTAATCGTATGGGATGATCTCAATTCTTACGATACAGACGAATGCCTCTGTTTTGTTCTCGGACAAAGATCGTACGTGACGATTGCTTAAATTTTCGTTCAAAGGACCGAAACGCCTCGTTTTTTTTTTCTCGCAAGATTTTTTTTTTCTAAGTCTGGATCGTACGCGACAGATTCCTTTTCGTACCAGGTGAACTTCTTGGGTCTGTTCCGTTCATTCGTCTGATGTTTGCGATAGACAAAATTGAATTTCTGACTGTTTGCCCGGACGAACTAGTTTTCGTAATCAGACGATGATCGGGTATGTGAAATAATTTTGTACCGAAGTCACAATGGTCTTCATACGCCACAATATTTGAACTGGTTTCATTACTCACGAACATACGATCGGTATGCTCTAAATTAAAAAAAAATTCAATTTTCCGGATGGTTTTTCGTGTCTTTTGTATAAAAGGTCCCGTAAAATTGACGTGAGATGAGTTTTTCATACATGATTTTTCAAGAGCAATTGAAGGAAAAGAGGGTGAGAGAGTGTGTGAGAGATTTTACTTACAAGTGGAGTGTGGAAGGATCACAAGATTACTCAAAGGTAAGGATCTCTTGTTAATTGTGGTTAATCACTTTGTCCTCTCTTTCTAGATTGCTTATGAGAAGATCTTCATATAAGATTCGGTTTTTTACCGACACTTGGGAAGTGTGGAAAGGACGAATGTTCTCTGCCTACACTGGAGAGTGTGAACAGCCGACGGACTCTGCTTACACTTAGAGAGTGTGAAAGGATTAATGTTCTCTTCCTACACTTGGAGAGTGTTGAACAGCGACTGTTGACGTTCTGCCTACACCTTGAGGGTGTAAAAGGATGAAGGTTCTATGACTACACTTGTGAGGTGTGAAAGGACGACTGTTCTCTGTCGCACCGGGATTGTTGGAAGAGAGTTTTTGTAAGGCTTCTCCGTTTTGCTGTGGGAGCCAAAAGGAGAGCCAACTTTTGATAATAGTGTAATACTTGAAGAGGCGATTCTTCAAGAAGAATGGAAGTAGGTCGTGCTTGACCGAACCACTATTAAAATCTTTTGTTATTTAAAGTCCACATTTTATTTTACTGCAAGCTTATTTTTCCGTGTTAAAAAGTTCTCATTTTTTAAAAAAATAATAACTTGCTCTGTAATCAACCATTTTTACTTTTAAAAATCCAAAAGAATTTTTAAAAATACTATTTCACCCTTCCTCTTGGTAGCCTTGGGACATTAGCTTGGTTAGCAACCTAAATCAAGATTCAACAAGAATTCAAAACCCCCAAAGATAACAAAAGGGGGGTTTTTTGAATATTTTGGTTTTTTTTAAGGTTTGTTAAGTTTGAGGGTTGTTTGTTGGTTGTAGGTCAAGAGAGATTTTTAATTTAAATTTAAGTTAAAATATTTTAGAATTATATTAATTTAAATTTTAGAGGTTTCATTATTTAAGTTTATTTTAGTTTTTGGGTGAGTTAATGTTTTAAACGAAGACTACATATCTTTATGGGGATCTTATATATTCCACATTTGATGGGAGGTGATAAATGTAGGAGTTTATGTAGGATCAATTATTGGAAAACTATTTTAAACATATTCAAACTATTGTTGAGTTTTGAAAAAAATTAATGTGTTAAATTAACATTAGTGCGATTTGCTAATTATTTTAGCCTCGTTTTAAAATACGCAATTAGAGGCGCGGCCTCAAGGCGCGCCTTTGCGCAATTTTGTTACCAAAACAACGCCTCGAGGCTACGCAATTCTTCACCTGGCTGAGCGTAGCCTCACCTGGACTGAGGCGCGCTCAGTAAGCGCAGATTGCGCAATTCTCGGTGAGGCGTACGCCTCACAAGAAGAGGCCCCACCACTTTAAAATGAACCTGCTTCCTCCCTCATCCCGACGGTCTCCTCTGTCATTACCGAAAAAATTCCCAATACCAGCTCTCTGTCGCGAAACCTGAAGGCGTCCCGCCCATCGGTTCTGGCCAGCCTTTCCCGCCGCCTCTCTTCCGGCGAAGTTAAAGTGTCCGGCCGCCTCGTATGGAGAGTCGGTTACAGTTGAATGGTGATTCAATTGGTGATTTCCACCCCTGAGTTACAGAGGTTTTGCGAAGTTTGGGCCTCAACTTGCTCTTCTTCTGGGTGTGAGCGAAACTGAAAGTACATTACAAGGTGCAAACAAAGAAAGAAGAGGTGCGGTTCGATCAACACTCAGAATGAACTCTTTCTGTATAAGACTATTACAAGAGGTTTGAGAGAGAGGAGGAGGAAATAAGGTTGAAGGAGATGAGGACCCATCTAGTGTGTGATGATGTGTCTGTCTGATAATGAGTGGTTCATAAAGATGATGAGGGCGAAAGCAGATCAAGTGGCACATTCACATAGTACTATGCCAGCACAACAATCAATTAAAGGTATTCCACAACTCTTATATGCAAAGCTTATCTTATTACATTTATGTCAAGGAGCAATGAACATCATTTTAATACATGATAATTGTATCTTTCTTTAAGAACAAGGAAGAAAAAGGAGTCATTGGTCTGAAGATGATGATGACTGGCCATCATAGATACAATGGAGAAAGAAGATCACTTGAAGACCCATTAGTAATGGGATATGATTTCATTTATATGTGTTTTTGTATTCGGAGTTTTGTTAAACTAATATTATTGTGAATTTTGTAACTTTTGGGACATGAT